GCATGTGGCCACTATGTTCAATAACACAGCCCACCAAGAGGCTGGGTGGATAATTCAGGCCATGCTGGGAGGTGGGCAGGGAAGCAGAAATTAGAAAGTGGTGGGAAGGGGGGTCTAATTGTTATCTTTCAGTTAAAGTTTAACCTGCAGTCCTAGTCTCTCTGGGTGACTAACATTGTGTATGCGTCTTCCTCTACCTTTTTTTTCAGAAGGTCAGAGGCAGCAGGCGGCAGTGCATGCACAGTGGTGCACACACGGAAGTCTGCTGTGGTGTAGGCTGGCACCCAGGACACATTCCAGTGATGTTCTCCTGGCCAGTCCCTCCAGCCCCTGCTGACAGCCAGCCTCATCCCAAACTCCCCTCTCATTCTTTCCCACTCTGAGCTTGCGCTCCTTGCAAGGGAGCCAGCTAAGCAAACCCAACATTTCTCAGATGCCACCATGTTCTGGGAGAAATCCCCTGGGAACAGACCCGTAGCTCCTCAGCATGATTTTCAAACAAAGGGAGGTCGTTCCTCCCCTCTGCATTCCCTTTGTGAGAGGAAATGGCTGCAAGCAGCTTCCTCGGATGTTCGAAATCCCCCAAGTCATCCAGGTTGTATCACACAAGCACAGGCACGGGCCTTTCTCATCTGGGGACCATCACCTCTGCACCCCAGCTACTACAGGCCTGTCACCCAGCTAAGTGCTGAAGAGCTCAGTAAAGTCTGTGAGTGGAATGGCCAGTATGCAGAGGCCCCACCCTTGTCCAGGAAAAGAACCGCTGCTTGAAATGATGGCCTACAAAAGGAAGGGCAGAGAGCCGACCACCTGCCAGGCCACCACAGGCCCTTCCTGGATCTCCATGGGAAGACCAGGGCTCTTGGGCTCACAGCCTTGGCCTACCAGTTCTGGTGTGGAAAGAAGACACTGGAGGCCCAAGGTTCTGATCCCGATATTACTGCCATTCCCGGGCTCTGAGTAATGCCAGCAGGGTATTTAAGGTGTGTAGGCTTCAGTGTGCTGGTCTGTAAATCCAGGGAGTTAGACTAGGTGATTGGTTCCCAACCATAGCTGTTAACAGAAATCAAGAGCTTTCTAAAAATGGAGACCTGGACTCCAGCCCCAGAAGTTCAAAGACAACGGCCTGGACAAAGGTCAAAGAATCGGGTTTTTAACAACCCTCTTCAAGCTCTGGCATTTCCAGGGCCCCATTCTTTTGCGATTCTCTCTCTCTTACCTCCGTTTCCTGAAGAACTTCTTGGTGATGAGAGAAAGATGCCTCCTCTTTTCAAGAGATATGGTTTCACATACACACTTGGCAAAGGTGTAGTCACGTAAGCAGTTTCCATCCACTGACTCACAGGTTCATAAACAGACAAGCATGTGTGCTTGGATGCACAAGAAGAAGCCCTTCTTGGCCAGGCATCACGGAGCTTTCTAGAGCACGCCCTCACATCACCATCTCCTGAGCGAGCAGAAACAGCACTGTACAGAGCCTCCCTGCCTTCGTACTCACCAGGGTCATTCCTGGAATGACAAAGACCTGGGGAGGGTCAGGGCAGAAGCAGACAGTTTGAGAAAACAAAAGCATGCTCAAATTCAGCCAAGGTCCTCTGGGACTCTGCGAGCCAGGCTGTCCTTGAAGAGCCAGAGAAATTGATATCAAGATGGCAAATAGCCTTATCAGCTTTCTCTCCTCTCCGTGGGTCCCAAACATTTCTCCTCTGGTTCAACTAAAGCCACCCAAGAACCCACAAAGCGACCTATTTGCTGAAGGCCCAAGTGATCAGAGAGTGTGTTTTGGTGCAAACGAACCAGAGGCTATAGGAACGGAGAGAATGTGTCTGACACAACAATTCTACTTCTCTGACACATGTGCAAAAGGACCCATGCACAATATTCATTACTGCGTTATTTGTACTTATAAAAAACTATTAGCAAACTGACCTAAAAGTCTTTTGATAGGTGGATGGATAAATAAATCAGTAGAATAATACAATGGAATAATATACAGAAGAGAGTTTCATAAGTTGATCTCAAAAACCTAAGACTAACAAGGGAGAAGAGTTACAGAATGAAACCTTTTATGTACATTTTTTATTTCTTTTCAGAGAACAACTCTAGATAATGGTTATTCATTAGCAAATCTGTTTAGATAAGAAAGAGAAACATTAAATAATGCATGCTGGGGGCTGCCTCTGAGGAGGGGGGACAGGGAACAGGAGGCTAGTGACGAGGGCCATTGGAGGAAGCTAAAAAAAAAAAAGACTTGAATCAAATATGACAGCAAAATATCAACCACTCCCAGTTCTGGGTGGTAAATTGGTGTTATTATGTTATTCTTAGTACTTTTCTGCATTTTTTAAATTCTCTCTTTAAAAATTCACCTCTCTCACTCCTTACCCTCCTTATCAAGCAAGGATATTAGTAAACTTGGGGTACCCTGGGAACCCCACTGGCTGCAAGAAGACCAAACAACAGTGACATGGCCAACGTGACTCAGAGGCCAGTGCAGTGTTGCTAGGGTCACTTACCCACCAGTTGGAGACTGACCATGAGCTCCTCCTGGTCAGGGCTCTGTGGCAGGAAGAACTGGGAAATGAGTCCGAGAAAAGACTAGAAGGTAATGGAGGGAAGTCACAGGGTCAAGAGCTCTAGGGGCACCTACAGATGCACAGTGGAGAAGCTGCCGCAGGGCCAGTATGCGTAATGGAAGGGAGGCACCTGTTCTGGTTCCTTGAGGACCAGAGAGGAAACAGCCTTAAAGAGAAACAGGAGAGATCCAGGTGGGAAGTCCACTCAAGAGTTTCATGAGAAAGAACCAAAACAAGTGACAAATAGCACATACTTCCTCTGGTACCATTTAGGAGGAACTTTTGGAGGATGAAGGAAGATGGACAATATGAACTTCAAGTGTCCAAAGTCTACTTGGCTGAACTGACGAAGGGTCCCCCTGCCCAAAGCACTCAACTTCCTTCACAGCTCTCTAGCCGGAGTGCACTGGCAAAAAGCCATGGGTCCATGCTCCTCCTTTCTCCTCCAAAGGATGGAAGCTTCTTGAAGACACAAACTTGGACTTCGCTTCCAGAGAGCTTTTTAAAAAAGCTCTAGACATAATAAAAGAAGGTCAGGAAAGAACACATTCTGTGTGCTCAATTTACTTTTTTGGAAGGAAAAGATTGTGCTTTCTTTTTCCAAGACTGAAGAAGTAGATATCTGTTAAACTTGATTTTCTTGTTTCTATGACTTTATTCACCAGAAAGGACGCTCATTATTTCACATAATGATCTCCCTAAAGGGCCTTGGTCAAAATGCTCAAAGAGGAGCCCATTTATTTAGAGATATATTATATACATTTCTACTGACTTGGTTTCTTCTTAGATGATATTCAACATTTCAAAATGCTTTTCTTGCTCCCCTCACCAGGATCAAAAAGTATGTGCTACAGGTGTGACAGCTGCATTTTTTAGAGTTGGTCTCATAGCTTGCACACAATATGTGCTCCACGTTTCAGCATTAGGAAAGCTAACCATCCAAAGCGCATCTCCCCACACTCTGGCCTAGTATACCACATTATATTATTTCTTTTTATCACTATTCTTTTTCTCACTTTTCTGGCCTCTTCCTCACCATCTAGGCAGCAAGCAAATGGAAGCAGGAGATGGGTCCTCTCCCAGGATCCACATTCAAACAACTGTCCCTACACTCACTTTCGATGACGTGACACTACATACCTGCTCCCGTAGAGGGATAGAGACCAGGTCCTACCCAGTTCTCTGCTCCCACCCTCCCCTTCCACCTGCCTCTTCTCCATCCTCATAAGACTGTTCCCAGATACTCCAAGCCTGGCAAACTGAACCCATAGGAGGCAAAAAGAAACTAAAATCATGCGAAGATGTCTAGGATTGCTGGCCACACTCTCAAACCAGCACAAGAAGTGTCCTGAATATAAATAAGTGTCTTTAAATAGGTCACCATGCTTTTCCTTTTCTGTAACCAAAAGTTTACTAATGTTGTCTGACATATTACTGCATCACGTCACCTCTCTCCGTTGGTTATGCGCTCTTGATTTAGAGGCAGGAAACCAAACCAAAGACAACCAGCAGTGCCAAGTGAGAATCCTCAGCTCAGGGGCAGACATGGGCCATGATCGGCCATCAGCCATGGGTAGAACCATAGTGTGTGACAATGCATCAAAGGCCATTCTGGACTTAGCAAAGGGCAGCTATCTGGGGAAGCCACACCCTGTGGAAGAAGCCACATCTCCTAACAGGATTCTTAAGTATCTTTTCTTACTAAACTTGGTCAATCACAAAACACCCTAAAACAGGCATTTGCCATTTCCTTCTATTAAGTTGATATCAAAGAAGAAGGAAGGAGGAGATCAGAACCCGTATGACCACATGTGATTGTCTGAGTTTCTGTGTCAAGTGGTTCATGTACATAACTTTGTTTTATCATCAATCACATGAGGCTGATAATTTCTTATCCCCTCTCACGCTTGACAAAAAAAGCCACTGGGTTTGAGGCCAACTGTACAAAGTCACGTAGGCAATGGGAGAGCCAAAACCAGGTTGTCAAGCGTCATAGCTCTTAGCCAACCAGAATGGCATCTGGTCACTTGGTATCACCGAAGGAGACTCTCAGTCAGACCACTTCATTTCTTCTGTTTCCCATCACCTCGCCCCCTCCCCGTCTCCACAGGACCCCCATCTTCCCAGTGAAGGGAGCCATCAGTCATGTGCCAGCTGACCTCACCCAACCTCAAAAGCCTTCGAGACCCAGTAAACCCACCCCACACCCACCCCACTTTATCTTGCCTGACACACCCCCTGCCGCTGTTGCTATAGAAACTGTCCAGCCTTATCAGGCTGTGGCAGGGGCAGGGAACAAGGAATTGCCATTTGAATTTTTTTCTTGGTCTCAGGCACTTAAAAGTAAGTTCACCATCCAGAGGCAACTTGGCACCACCATCCAGAAGTCAAGACAATAGACCTAAAAAAAAATTTCCTGGGAAGTTGCATAAAGGAACATTTTTGAGAAGTTATGCCTTAATTACTACCTCCCAGGGAAAAGGAGCTTTTCTAAACAGCAGTATATAATTCATTGCCTCTCTGCATGTGTGCGTCTGATGGAATGAGCCCTGGAATGAGAAGCTGGAGACCCGGACTCCATTCTGGTCCTTCCGTTCTGGTCCGCGCCTGCCTTTGCATTTGAACCTGAATGCAGCCTTGATTCCTTTATCTGTCAAGTGGTGAGCATCCTAAGGCTAAAACAGATGAAAAAAAAAATGAATCTAAAGGCACTTCGGTAGAAGTAGACAATGTCTAGCAAAAAAGCAGTTTTAGGTATCATTATTTCGTCATTTACCCTTTGAGGTTGCCCCTTTGCTCACTGTACCCCGTAATGCAACTCAGATCCCTCCGGCCGGAAGGTCCCCATCTCTTCACTCCTATCAGGATGGAACACGCTAAACATGCTCCTCTTGCCTCCCCCCCACGCCCCCACTTCCTCAACCTCCCCAGGCCTTCCTGGGCTCAGTTCCCTCCCGTCCTCGGCTCCCTGGCTCCCAGAGCTCTCAATTCCTTGAATGAACACAGGCTGACACACCTACACCCGTCCACTCATGAGAAACCTCCCCAGGCTCTGCTCAGGCCAACTTCACCAGAGCCCGTGGGCCAACTCTCCTGCCTGGCAGCTGGAGGCCTGCCAGCCCCCCGTCCCCTCTCCCCAATCTTCACTCCTGCTCTGCCTCCCAACAGCCAAGGAGAGATGTGGGACTGGCGGCCAGAAGGGGACCCAAGGGCTGCCAGATGCCCCCCCTTACCAAAAAAAACGCGGGGGAAGGGAAACAATTCCCGACTACAGTCCACTCTGTACTTCTTTCCGGGGGAGCTGCTTTCTGAGCAAGGTCTCCCTCTGCGTCCTGACTGACACCCAGGAGCCGAGCCAGCCCAGATCGTCCCTGGCTTTGTTAAGGAACAGGAGTGGCGAGGAGGGGGAGGGTCGCGTCCAGGGTTAGGAGCCAAGTAGCCGGGGAGAGGCACAGGGGGATGGTCCATTTTCCAGGAGAGAAAAAGACCTCCTATAGCCCACAGAGACGCTACTCATTGCAGGGGTGAGGTGAGGGTGGGGGCAGTTACTCTGGAACCTGATAGCCAAGAAATTTCTCTGGACTGAATCCCCACCTCTAAAGTGGGCTTTGCCTCCCACCACACATACCATGAAGGCCCAGAGTCCACCCCAGATGCCCAGCGGCAAATACTACACTTTGTCCCTACTGTCCTGGGTCTCACCACAAGCATATGCTGAACCCCCAAAGCTCAAGCATTCATCTTCTCTGCTTCCTGGGGCTTCAGCTCCATCAGACGCCTGAGAACTGCCGTCACTGTGCCCCGACAGCCCACCACCCCAAAGGCTTTCTGGGACCACAGATGGAATCGAACATTAGAAAGAACTCCAGCGCCCCAAAACAGTCCTGCACCCAGCATCCCCGCTGAGACCCTTCAGCGCCCCCGTGAAAAGCAATGCTGCTCCCCCCTCAGAGTGAGGTAAACTCCGGAGACTCATAGTAAGGAAACGTCACTTTTTTTGGATGGAACATCCAGTTTCTTTGCCAGGATCACGTTCAACTTTCTGGCACCCTCGGCTCAGACAGGATGGATCTGAAAGCCCATTTTCCTGCAGCAGGAAACAGGCACCATGGGGTCTTTGCTGGCTCTGACAACTCAACAACTGCACCCCCTCGCAACGTCTTACGTCCTAACTGTGTTAGGGCCAGTTCATGCTTGACCCCCATTGGGGGTCCTCGCAAGTTTCCCATGGAGGGCCATCCGTACCGGAGGGAGCTTTCCGCCTGAGACGTGGCCTCGGAGATCTTCCAAGCCCCTGAACACAAGCAGCTGGAGGGCTGGACCCGACAGGTTGGCTGTCCAGGTGAAAGCAGTATTCGGCCCTGGGTCACCTGTTCATGAGCAGCAAGGCCAGCACAAGTACCCAGTGTCTAAATTCTGGGGCCACCTTTGTCCCGCATAGTCCCTCCACCCCAAATCTGGGCACTGCAGAGTGACGCTCCCGAGAACGGTCAGTCCCAGATTTTAGGACACAGGCCGCAGAGAACACTGCCTACCTCGTCCATAAACAGTGTGAGCCTGTTGACCTCAGCCATTGTTTATTGTCAACAGGGTTTATACTGCATTTAAAGTACGGTTTCATTATCCTTTCTAAGAAACAGTTTCACTACTGTCTGTGAAAGTAGGTCAGAGGTATGAATATTTCCTTTTTATAGGTGAAGAGATAAAAATCAAGTGACTCATTACAAAAAAAAAAAAACAAACCCAAGTGTTTAGGTTTATATGTATTATCTTTACACACATGTATGCATACATGTAACATGCATGCAGGCACAACTCAATGGAGCTGGTCCTATCAATTCTTGACTGACAGATAAGGGAACTTAGGCTCAGGGAGAATACATCTCGGATGAGGCCCCTACATGCTGTAGATGATTGGCCATTCTGACACAGACAGTGAGCATTCATTTTAAAGGAAAGGAGACATTGTTTGCCAAGATTAAGGCAACTAATGTGTGTGAGAACCTACTATGTGGCAGACACTCTCCACTGCCACAGCTGCCCTCACACACACCCCATTTAAGAGATACAATCATCCCCACGTCACCAACGGGGAAGGCCTCAGCCCATCACCACTCAGGTTCTGAGACAAGTCAGCATGGAAACCGAGGTCAACTGACAGCAAAGACCGGGCTGCTTCCATCATCATCTCTTCTCAACCCCCTCGGGCCCCCCAGTTCTCCTCTCCAGAAGCCCACCCCGGGACCCTTTTGCCTCTAACTGCTGCATGATGGCCACTTCTATTTCTGAAGTCCCCAAGCTCCAGAACTTGGGCCTCTCAGACGAGGCGAGAAAACGCAAATAACTGAACCTGAAGCCGACAGTGATGAACCGAGACCTGGGCATCATCTGCACATGGCAGGTGTCCACGAACAAATCTTCTGGCTGACAGAGTCAAAGGCTTTTTCTGCCAAGTTCCACTCCCTGGCTTGGCCAGAGGAAAGGCAGCCGGGTTAGTTTCTCATCCTATTAATTACCTGCTAAGGTGCCCCTTGACTAAGCCCGAGTCCTCACCTGCAAAATAGAGGCGAAAAACCTACGTCACAGGGATGTCATACACAGAAGACAAAGCAGGCAAAGAAGCCAGTTCACAACAGGATAAGGACAGATGGGATATGATCCATCTCCTGGCGGCTGCCTGCCACCTCAGCAAAACGCTGGCCAGAGATAGCAAGAAGCAGAGGGGCCTAGAACATCTGCCAACCAGAACACTAGCTCCCCTGGTCAATGGAAAGTGTAACCTCGCTCTTCTGTGCCTTGGTGTCAGCAGAAGCAGCCCAAGCATGAACCTTCCCGGAGAGAAATGGCTATTTCCCCCGCCCACTAAGCCCAGACCCTGCACTGCCAGCCAACCTCCCGCCTCACATACGGATTAGATTCGATTCAGACATTCCAGTCGCCATTCACCTCCGTGGTCTCCCTCCAATTGGATCCCTGAGAAAGCTTGGGGTCAGTATATTTTCCATGACACCTTCTCAATGCCTGTCCACCTACTTAGCATCCAGCCAGGTGTCCTAGACCAGGCCACGGTGAGAAAGCATGGGACAAAGGGTCTAGAGGGTGTTGAGAAGACAGGATAGAGAAAGCAGAGGAGGAAGTGGGCAGCTGAGAACACAGAAGAGATTGAAGCTAAATGCAGTCCCTGGATATAAAATTATTTTAAAAATAATAACAATCACCAAGACTTTTTGTTGTTGTTGTTACGGTATGGTAGAATGTGAAAACCAACAGCAAAACCAAATGTGGGCATAACTATTTATTTTCTGCTTCTCCCTCCTTCCTTTTAGCAGCCCCTGCCCTGCCCTACCCCCACCCCCAACAGGCTGAGAAAAATGCTCTGATTCTACATTTCATTAGAGTCGAGAATTTTCAGCACTTCCTCACATCAAATCTTAATTGCGTGTCCCATTTTCTATGGCAGAGAACAGCTAATCTGAGAACCAACAAGAAGCTAACCTGACAGTTGGGCTAGAGAGCAGTGATGCTCTCAAAGTACGCCCTCAAAGGCCTGGCCGTGGGTGATCAAATATGCCCTATTCTCAAGCAACCCACGGGCTTTTTTATAAGGCTAATTTCCATAAAGCTCCCCCCCCCTAATCCAAAGGACTGATCTCCGTGAAAAGTTTATTTTAAAGCTCAATGCTAAGGTAAGGTAACAATGAGAACTTTATAAGCCTCCCTTTTCCCTTTGCCTGCCAGGAAACTCAATCGTCCAATTTGGCCAAGAACTACTACATAGGTAGATCCTCATGACCACCTCAGGTGTGTTCTTATTCCCCACTAGACTCTACCACCTATTCTAATTCAGAGTCCTTAGTCCTGTTTTAGTTTTTGTGAGATCTTTTGACATTGCTATACAAGATTTGCTTTTTTACTAAAGCTTTCTCAAATATCTTGCCAAAGGAATGGATGGAATCACTGGTCCAGACAAAGGGAACTGACTTTAGTGAACACTTGACTCAGGTGAAATGTGAGTAGGGAGACTGCAGGGAAAGACTCCGATTTGGTGGCTTCCTCCAATTCCAGCTCTCCAGCGCAAGGGCAGGCCCAGGCTCCTGCTTGCCTAGCAGGCTCGGGACCTTCCAGCCACACCCTCCACAGCAGCCCTGCCTCCAAGGCCATGGGACACCCGTCGCCAAGGAAGCACATATCTCCCATGAGGGGACCCAGGCGCAGCACAGCACTCAGCTCCCCCATCTCCTCCTTCCAAAGTGGTGGTGACTCAGGCGGAGCAGCTTAGCAGAGCGAGTTCTGAGCATTCTGTCCAGAAGAGGGGAGGGGGGCGGAAGGTGGTGGTGTTAGCAATCAGTGACAGTGGGTCCCACTCATTCCCCGAGTCTATTTTACGACTTTGAACTCAGTATGCAAATTTATGCAAGGCAAGATGCAAAGCAGCGCTTTCAGCCAGAAGTCCCATTGCTTTCCTCCCCTCTTTTTTTGAAACTGCACTGAACCACTGTAAATCAGTGCTCTTCTCTGCCCCCCTTATCCGCCCCCAGCAACTGCAGATGCAAAGCCTCCCCAGCCCGCCCGCCGGCCAGCCTGCCTGCCTGCCTGCCTGCCCGGAGACTCTGACAGACTGCACATTTCTATAGCACCTTTATATGTGCAGCGGGCCAGACGGCCACTTGGGCGGCTCCGCCCCTCAGCATAATCCCTGGCATTGTACACGGCAGCGAAGGAGGCAGGGAGATGCTGAGGAAGGCCCTAAATTCTGAAAGGACCAAACTGCCCCCAAACCTCTTCCCTCACATTTCTAGGCACTTTTCCCATTCCACCACCAAACGCAGTCACGCGCTTTTAAGGTCCAGACTTCCTGAAGACCTCGGGGTCCCCCTCCCATTTTTCTTCCGGGCTCCCTCACTCCAACCTCCGCCCCAGTCTGACTTCTGGGTTTATTTGAACCAACAAGTCCCAGCCCATCACCCCCAGGGGATGCAGACTCAGCACCGGCTGAAGCGCCCACCCCCACCCCCTGCATCCCAGCCATCCCCAGGAAGCCAGCGACACAGCCCCTGAGTCCTGGGAACAAAGACAAAAGAGCTAACAGCGAAGCCGGAACTGCTGGGGTTTGCTGCCTCGAAATGAGAGGGTATGTTTAAAATTCTCAAAAGCAACCTGCTCAAAGAGGAATGCAGGCTGGGATGGGTGGTGGGGGGAGGCTCACGCTTGGGGGGTGGGGAGAAGGGATGGAAGATGAAGAGTAGGAGGCAGCAGCATTCAGTGCTAAGGTCTCATCTAGGCCAGTCTCAGTCCCTGCCCCTCTGGCCCAACTCGGACCAGCACTGGCCATGCAACACCCCCTCCCTGCTCCAGCCCAAGATCGTCTTCTGCACAGAAGCCTCAAAACTTGCCCCTCTATCTTACCGAATCCCTGTAAGCCCAGGCTTCTCCCCTTGGTCCCCCTCCCCCACCAACCCGACTCTTGCCTCAGGCACCCAGCTCTCGGTCCCTTTTCCAGTGCGCCCACTAGGCTTCCACATCTAATTTCCACCACCCTCCCCCCAACCCCCACCTGGGTATCGCCTCTTCCCAGTCTGAAGCACAAGAGAAAAATGTGGAAGGCATCTGTCTGGGCATTGAGAGAAGGCTAGCTAGTGGAGAGGAGTCCCATAACCAGGCAGAAAATCCAGAGTGACATTCTTCCCATGAACTCACACCATTGTCCCCAGGCTCCCCAGACAACTCACCCCCCTCCAGGCTCCTAGGAGGAGTGAATGGGGAATCTCCAGCTCGGTTCCCTTCTGAAGACCCTGACCTGCTTCTGGGGGTTGGGAAACAGGAAAGCTGATCTTCAGGCTGAGAGTG